AATCAACCAAGGTCTGTCCAGAGGTCTGTGTCCAGTGACCAGTCTTCCCACAGAAGAAAGATGATTTGAAATCATCAGGGGCATTTCAAATCAACCAGTCCCTGGTTCAACATTGGTTCAGACAAAAGTCAGGTGACCTGGAGCTGCTGTGAGCTGCCCCAGTTCAACATTTCTCTGAACCCATTGAGTGTGATTCTAATCGCATTGTCCTTGCCAGTGAAGCCATGGAAAGCAAAGCTAGAATCACCGCTGTCTTCACCTAACTCTTTTCATTGGATTCATATTAGGCCTTTTGGCTTACCCGACTTAGTGTAAGTTGCATCAGTGACAGCGACGAGGCCACTGTTGACATAGGAAGCTGACTTCCTAGGCTCAAATCTCAACATTGTGAGAAAAGGCAGTTGTATGTGGTGATGACAGAACTGGTGTCAAGTTGAATAGAGAGGGTGTTAGGGAGGTGGAGTGTGGAGGTCAAGGTGGAGAGAAAGCCAACAAGCTCTGCTGAAGCGGAAGAAGAGGCAATGGGGGGAAGCGCGACAGCAAAGGAGAAGGGAGGGTCGAGGGAGACTACCACTGCGGCAATGAAGCCTGTGTCGTGAAGGGATCCACCAGTATCGAGGGTGAGGGAGGGGGATGGGAGGGGCAGAAAAGGGATGGGGTTGGCAAAGGGGCAGGAGTGGGACCCTCTGATGGGATAGAGAGGGTAGGTAAGGTGTTGGAAGGGCGGCGGTGAGGAGGGATATTGTAAAATTGGCAGGAGCAAAGTGTAGGAATGGTATCAAAATGGGGGCGGAGGGAATGGTAGAGGTTGCGGAGCGACTTCTTGGCCTTCCTTCGGCCACAGAATGCCAAGGGTTTCAGTGAAGCAGAGAGGGGTTGTTCAAAAAAGAAGATGTGAGGGCATTGGAGATCGGGCAGGAGGCTGAGGCAGACAGGCCAAGGTACGTCAGAGACAGGTGTGAGACTATACTCACTCCTTTGACCCTGGGATCTAGGCCCTAGAGTGAGGGAAAGCAAATACTAGGCTAAAGACAACTTTATTGGGCTGTTGTGTAGGGGTGTTTCAACCCTACTACTTGCCTAATCCACAAAGTATCCCTACTGATCTGTCTAACAGGGGTCTCAAACACAAAGAATGAACATTCAGAGGGACAATTCTCTGAAGGATCAGTGTGAGAGCACTGATTACTTGCATGGCTGTGGGCCGGTGTGAGGGGAAACGGAAGGGCGCTCCAGAGGGTGCAACACAACTGCACAATAAAGAGAGAGAAGAGGGAAACGGGGGTTTTTATCTCGGGAACCTAATCTCAAATACAACAGGAGCAGTTTATAGCAGTGGGACGGACAGGGCGCAACCTAGCTCCCCTTGTCGCAGACGGTGCTGCAGGAGCCCTCGTTGTCGCCAGCAACGTGGGGGAGTGAGAGAAGGGAGTCGACTATGTAGGGGTTGGAAGGTTGCCTGCAGGGAACTCGCATGCAGAAACACCTGCGATTGTTCACGCACCCTGCTGGGCTGTGTCAGCACAATCACTCAACCAGCAGGCTTTATCGCATCGCACTCATACTCACACATCGCACTCTCACAGCAATAGGACTGAGGCAGGCACTCCTAGATCGAACTCTCAGGTGTGCCAACACCCTCGCAGGGTGGACAACGCCACCGCCGTCGCCTCTGCAGCCGGCGAGTGCCTGTAATCCTCACTCCAACACAGAGCCAGCAGCATCACACAGTCGGTGGTGGGGCCAGCTGCATTCCCCACCTGTGGCCCCTTAAGAGGAGCCCCCAAAGGGACCATGCACAAAAGTTTCCAGGCACCACTGTGCCACCCGCCGCCACCAGCTCGTTGATCTGCACTGCCCCATTGACGATCTCACCAAACTTGGAGCAATCGCCTCAAGATTTGACATGGGGACAGCAAAGAGAGTGAAGAATGATCATGGCGTGTGCAAGACGCTGATTGCGATGCACAACAACGGGAAGAGCACCTGTGAGATCGCCAATGACACAACTGTACAGAAGTCAACAGTCCAGGATATAATTGCGCGCTATGAGAACACTGGCAGTCTCACTCACCTGCCCCGTTCTGGACAGCCTCACAAGCTCTCAGAGAACAATCGCCATTATTTGGTTCGAGCTACAAAGGGATCTGCATCAAACAGAAGGCAAACACTTGGCAACCTTGCAAATCAGTTGAATTCCGCTTGTGACAATCCCGTTTCAACGAGGACTGTTCGACAAGTACTTCACACGGAGGGGATTTTCAACTGTCTTGCAGCTAAAAAGCCCTATCTCAAGCCAGAGCATCGACGTAAACGGCTTGAATTTGCTAAGGAGCATGTCAGGTGGTCTGTTGAAGAGTGGGAGAAGGTAATTTGGACTGAGGAGGCCAGCTTTGAGACTGGAGTGCATGGGCAGGTCCGTGTTTGGCGCTGTGCAGGTGAAAAGCTCAAACCAGAATGTCTTCAAGCAACAGTGAAGAGTGGCTGCCAGTCATTCTCAATTTGGGCTTGTTTCCGTGGTTCAATTGCTGGAAGCTATGCATTCATTGACAGGCGACTGAACAGCTCACAGTATATTGACATTTTGGATGGTCAACTTCAAGTCTTTATTGAATATTTGGATGAACAGAATGCCAACAAGGAGTTTCCTGAGAACAGCCTGATCTATCATGACAATGCACCAGCTTAGTCAGCCCTGAAAGTTAAAGCTTGGTTCAAAGAAAAGGGCATGCCTGTCATGAACTGGCCTGCTCAAAGCCTGGATTTGAACCCCATAGAGAATCTCTGGGCTTGACTTAAAGATCAAGTATCAGTAGACCGACCGCTTAGCCTTGAGGCGTTGAAAACGTCAGTTCAAAAAGCTTGGCAGGAAATTGAACCCCAGTCCCTCCAAGCGTTAGTGAAGAGTATGCCTGCAAGGATGCAAGCTACTATTGAGAGCGATGGAGGGCCAACAGACTATTGACCAGACTTTCGAACCATCACATTCTTTTTGCTTGAAATACAATTAAGTTTTGTGGAATTGGATGGCTCATATTGAGCGAAATTTTGGTGGCACAGCAAGTGCCCAGAACTTTTGTCCCCCCCCTGTACAAGTCCTCGATTCAAACTTCAGTTGTATCCTTTCTTTCTTCTACCTCTCGGCCACTTGCTTCGCTTCGCAGCCTCGACCCTTCCATCTTCTTGTGACGCCACCTTGACTCACCTTCTACACTACAACTTCAACACTAAGGGATGCAGCTGTAGCAAGCTGTGCACGGTAGACTGCTTTGCAGAGCTGAAGGAGGGGAAGAGCATTGCTTGTGAACCCTGAAAAATCTCTAACCTGCTGGTTCAGTTTAAGAAGTTTCCAACTATAACCCTGTAATTTAAACAGCTTAGGTTAGGTTAGAAACTGGGTAAGAAGGTTAGGGTTTGCAGGTTTTGCACATTTCTAGGCTATGGGATATTGTACAGGATAAAATCAGCATAAGGGTGCCTCTAACTGGACCTAACCAAACCGCTGAGCCTTACTTTGCAGCAATCCACCGAGTATGTTGTATTGTTCAGAATTGGAGAAAAATGACATCAACTTGAAATGAAATTGATCCAAACCTGAATTTCGACTTTGCCACTTAGTGATTACCTTTGCAGACACCATGACAAGTCCCAATCGACATATGGGAAAAAACAAAAAACCAATCTTACACAAGTTTCTTTCCTAATTGATCTAAAGTTCATTCCATTTGAAAAATGCAACATTGCTGTAATAAGAAAGATCAGTTGAAAGCAAATATCCGCCAAAAATCAGCCCACGCAGAATCCTATTTACGGATACAGATACAGATATATCAATATCCGCTCTGTATCTGGCAGTTTGCAGCCTTACCAAGATATGAAAGAAGCTTGTGAGTTTGGTTTTTTTGAGCACCCACTGTTGCAGAACCTGACTCCAATGGAGGTTTCTTCTTTGATACTATTGATGAGTCCAATGATACTTCTCTCAGTAAAAATTTAGTGGCAATGGTTCGCTACTGCAAGGACTTCACGATTGAGATTCGCCATTTGCTCCTTCAAGAGGTAAGCAATTGTTTCTGATGGTTGGCTGCTGAGCTGCGCTCTGCGAAGCCCAGGCTTCACCAGGATAGTCCAATTACGAACAAAAGTGTATGCCCAATCTGTTGTTACAGTAGGGAAGCTAAGGTGCCTCCACCGACTTTCTAAAAAGGCATACACGCTCGGCTCAAAGCCAAAAGCATAATACCAGCAAGGATTCAAACCTCAGCACTAAGCAAGCGCCATATGCGCACTTACTGGTGTGCCAGTATGTCTGTTCCACACATAGTCAGAACTATTTGCAAATCGCAAATTTACTATGTCCGCTCCATTTGTCTATGTGTGTCCACATAATTGGATTTGCCCTTTGTTGTATCAATTCCTATCAAATTGCTTGTGCAACGCACAATGATGTGGTGTCCAGCCTGTGGATTGAAACCTCGGGAACCTTACCAAGCACTCGTACAGTGCTCAAATACCCGCAGAGGAGTGTGAAGATCTTGAATAAAGTACTACCAATGTGCGTATACTCCAACAGATGTGCTCTTAAAATTATCATCAGCACACCAGTTGTGTGATAAATCACCCTCTGGAAACCTCTGGAACCTTCTAGAACATTCATTCCTTCATGGAACCTTGTGGAACCTTCTGGAACCTTCTTTGCTTTCCTGACTTGTCTTGTTGTCATTGGTATCATTGGTATCATTGTATTACTAATTGCTCTTTCTGGAACTTTCTTTGAGTCTTGACAAGGAAGACTCTCAAAAGGTATGAAAAGGGGGATGGGGGACCTGTCCCATCCCTCAAGGAATGTTCAGTCAAATTTGAAAAAGATTACCCAATCACTTGTGGTCTCACATTTCTCTCAAATAACAGTACAAACCCATCCCACCAATCCCACAGCTCACCCTCAGCAGCCTGTTTATTAAAAGATTGTGATAAAACTTAATTGAGTGATGTCATCGGCCCGGTTAGCTCAGTTTGGTAGAGCGTGAGACTTTTATCTGGACTGCTCCGAAAGACATCTTAAGGTCGTGGGTTCGACCCCCACATCGGGCGCTCTGGTTCTGCAAGGCCATTTTTGATGTTGAACCCATATGGAAGTAAAAACTGGCGGAAAGCGATCTTAACGGAGTCGTTTTCGTACTTCGAACACACCCACGTTCGAACCAGTGTTCAAATCTGCCATGTGATTATTCTTGGCGGTGGGAACAGAACTTCAGCAGTCGGTTGCTTTGCACCGGTTCGTCAGTATTGCAAGTTTTTTCTCCAATTTTTGCAGTTTTAGTCATAAAGACGTATTATTATGCTCCAGACCTTCATGTGCGGTTCGCTTTTTTGCAGCATGATGCCTTACACTTGTACTAAGAGCGTACCAAGTTTCACAACAAAAAGTTGATAATTGGCTGAGTGTGCCTATGTGACTTATACAATCTGATCTTCAAATTGTAAACAGTCCACTCTGAGTGATTGAGTGGAAGGAGTGAATGAAGTGGAGATGTGTGTTTGTGGGTGGTCCTTCTCCCCAACTTGGAGAGAAAGAGAAAACTTTGTTATGAATAATTGATACACAATGATGATATGCACGCTGTGATAGTTGCTATGCCAGCGTGACCAGCACAGGGCAAAAACCTCTCCTACATTATCTGCTTGAGCAGAGGAGAGGAAACCTTTTAACATGAGGCTTCCATTCCACTTAATACTTGGAGTATTTGTCAACAGCACAAGCCAACGCCCAGGTCTGCATTGGCAGTGGCTCGCTCTCCAACGGGCATTGTGAGAACAATAACTGACAGTCACAATACGTTCAGGCCCATCTTGTACCTCTTGCTGCTAACCAGTCAGTTCCACCTTACACTCCTATTCGATGGCCATGGGTGAAACACCTGTTATGCAAAGCGTGTGTGAGTATCTGAGACTTCGACTGAAAGGGTGTTCAAACGGTCTGAGCACGGTCACAGGCCAAGTAGCGAGGTCAGTCGCTGGTGCTGAGACGTCAAGAGTGGTTTTGTGCGAATATCTGCGATCTGGTCACTGGTTGGTATGTAGCGTACAGTGATCTCTCCAGTGGCTACACCTTGTCAGAGGAAATGAGCACGTTTTTCAATGAGTTTTGTGTGAGCACTTGTGAGAGGGTTGAGCACTAGTACGTTTGCAGATAGATTGTCCTTGAGGATTAAGCAGCTGCTGTCTGGGAGTTGCAACTCTGATAATATAGCTAGGAGCCATTGTGCTTCTTGGAAGGCTTCAGAAAGTGAGTAGTATTCTGCTTCCGTGGAGGATAGCAATACTCAATGTTGTTTGTGTGAGACCCAAGAGACAGCAGCACCCAGGAGGAAAAAGACATATCCAGTGCGTGATGTGCAGTCTCCAGGCTGGCCCCCATAGGATGCATCAGCGAATGCAGCTGGTTCAAGGGCATCGTTTGTGAAGAGCCGTAGCGGCTTGTGGCTTTGCCTGTAGAATAATCCGTAGTCCAGGTGCCTCGGAGGTAACGAAGCAGGCGGCGGAGTGCATTGCGATGGCACTGGCGTGGCTTCAGTTGGAACTGGGAGAGTATATTTGTTGCAAATGTGATATCTGGTTGAGTTTGTGTTGCAAGGTATTGAATTTTCATGATTGTGGATCGATACCAGCTTGAGTCGCTCTTGCTGAGTTCGATTGACGTTTTGTCATGCATAGGGGTGATAGACATTTGAGTTGATGCAATATCGAGATTGTCCCACATTTTCTCTTCAGTGAGAATTGTCCTGGTGTATTCGTCTAGGCCCATCCAAATGCCTTCGGAGTTGCGCTCGAGGTGGATGCGAATCACTTGGCTGACAGTGGTTTCCTCAAGAGACATGCTGTACTCAGCGCAAAAAGCATCCTCAATTTTTGCGACAAGAGCTGGGGTGTTGGCCATGACATTGATGTTGTCGACAAAGACAAAGATGATTTCAAATGTTTGCTGCTGAGGGTCTAATCGAAAGAAGAGGCAGGGCTCAGCAAGAGATTGATTGAAGCTGAGTTTCTCGACAATGAACTTGCGAAGGTTCAGGAACCAGTTTCGTCCAGATTGGTGTCCTCTTGAGGAGTTTGCAGAATAGTTTCTTTCCATCTGGAGTGAATCGCTCGTGGCCTTTTGGTGGGTGCATGTAGATGACTTCTTTGAGAAAAGTGTACAAGTAGGCTGTGTTGACATCCATGCTGTGGTACTTGAGGTCAAAAGCAAGGCTGATTGCAATGAGCAGTCAGATGGCCTGGATCCGGATGACAGGAGAAAAGGTGTCTGTGTAGTTGATGCCTTCGCGTTGAGTGTTTCCACACGCGACAAGACGAGCTTTCCATCGCTTCAGCCAGCCAAAGGGGTCGAGCTTGTAGGCATAAACCCATTTGAAGAACATTGCGCGTTTGCCAGAAGGAAGAACTGCCCATTCCCAGACCTTGTGCTTGTCCATGAGAGAGTGAAACTCCTCAAGTTCAGATGCAGTCCATTCTTCATTATAGTCTGATGCGTGGGCTTCCTTGTGGGAACGTGGCACTGGTGGGAGTTGTGATTGGTGGATTGGTTCTTTAGGGAAGCGCTTTGGGAAGTGTGGTTCTGGTTTAGCTGCTGCAAGATAGAGTCGCAAGAGATGGCAAGTGACTGTTTGATTTGCAAGTAGCTTGTGAAGTCCACTTGGTGCATCTTTGATGTTGACAATGACAGATGGTGGAAGTGGTGATTCAATGACAGGTTCTGGTTCAGTGTTGATGGATGCTGCTATGCGGTCTGCTGTTGGAGCTAGGCTCTCTTCAGGTTTGTTTTCATCTTCGCCTAGGACGACAGCAAATGTGTCAGGGTTCCAACCATAGTTGTCATCATCATTATTGCCTTCCATATCTTGGGCAAGAGTTGGAGGTTGATCTGAGGAGTTTGATGATGATGTTGGCAGCTGTCCCCCGGAAGCCTGGCGCTGTTGCTGGTGAGTACAAGTGGAGGGAGCACTGTCAGGAGGAGAGTTGGATAATCAATGGTAAGAGTCAAGTGGTGGCTCAACAGGCTTGAAAGAAGGAGTGTCGTCAGTTTCAGGAAAATCTGTAAAATTATCAGAGAGAGAAGTTAAGAGATCAGAATTAAGAGATTGAAGCTTAGCGTCACTTCGGACAAGGCCAGGAAAGACGTGCTCATGCAAGTTATAGTGACGTGTCCGAAGAATGGTCTGTGCAGTAAAGCGTAGCTGAGGGCAATAGACTTGCTGTCTGTGTCAAAACCCAAGAAGAGTCCAAGTGAGGTCTGAGGAGAGAACTTGGTCTTGTGTGAGTTTGCAGGTTCTGTATACTCGTTGTTGAGTGTGACAATGAGGCAGCCAAAAATTCCAAGGTGGCATAGGTTGGGTTTTCGGCCTTGGTAATATTCAAATGGAATTCGACCAGTGCGAGTGTGTTGCACACAATTGCACAGGAATGAAGCACGGCGTATTGCGTAGGACCAGAAGAACCGCAGAAGCTGAGCTTCAATCAGGAGACAGGAAGCAATGCAGTGTTCACAAAAAAATAGAAGCGAGAGGGACCGTTTATTTGAGAAGAAGACGAAACAGATGGCCCTCCTGTAGCTTGAGGGTGAAATCCAGTTGCTAGAAAAATTTGGAGGAGTTGCTCGACAGTCTGGCAGTGACAAATAGTGACTCTAGGACTTGTTTGATGATCTACTTGATGGAGAAATGGTCCAGAGTAGAGGATGTGTGTTGCACACAATGCTTGTTGCAAGCTGATTGATGGACGGAAAATTCTGAAATCGGAATAGCAGGTTGGCACTGTTGAATAGTGACCGTGCGCCAATTTCAGGCTGAGGATCAAAGTTTTGGTGGTGTTTTCCTTCGGAGAGTGTAAGAGAGTGGAATAAAGAGAACTTGGAGCAATTGGTGTCCAGCAGGGGTGACTTGTCAAGCAAGAAAGGACAAAAATGGTGGATGGAGGTAGTGGTAGTTCGACTTTTTGGACCCCCTTATCGAAATCTCTTGTAGCTCCTGCTGTGGGCGTTGTGGCGGGCAGGTTAGGTATCAATCGAAATAGCGGAAGCAGGAAAATACAGGTATGAAAGGGCGTCCTCTGATCGCTTCTCTCTGTTGCGACGGTGTCACTCAAAGTTGAGGAAGCGTTTTTGACTTCGGCGATCAATTAAATTCCGTAGAGACAACGTAGAGAGCTCTGTGATAGCTTGTTGGAAAGAGCAAATTCAGGACTTTCGAATGCACTATAGCCAGCCAGATTGAATGACAGGGTCGGCCGGGAGAGGGCGTCGAAAATTTTGGGCCTCCCAAACGAAATGGTTTCTAAAGTTGAGCTATGCTGATTCTGTTTGTTGGAGGTGATAGAGAGTGTTTTCAGAGCTAGAATCTGTGGTTGATGCAGCCAGATAGCTGGCACGCTGATGTGTAAACAGTCTACTCTGAGTGAGTGAGTGGAAGGAGTGAATGAAGTGGAGATGTGTGTTTGTGGGTGGTCCTTCTCCCCAACTTGGAGAGAAAGAGAAAAAAACTCTGTTATTAATTATTGGTACATGATGGTGATAGACACGCTGTAATAGTTGCTAGGCAAGCGTGACCGGCACAGGGTAAAAACCTCTCCTATATTATCTGTGCTTGAGCAGAGGAGGAGAAAAACTGTTGACACCAGGTCTCCATTCCACTTAATACTCGGAGTATTTGTCATCAGCGCAAGCCAGCGCCCAGGTCTGCATTGGCAGTGGCTCGCTCTCCCATGGGCATTGTGAGAACAATAACTGACAGTCACAATAGGTTCAAGTCTGTCTTGTGCCTCTTGCTGCTAACCAGTCAGTTCCGCCTAACAAAGGTGATAGCATTGGAGTTGATGTGATGTCCAGGTTGTCCCACATTTTCTCTTCAGTGAAAATTGTCCTGGTGTATTCGTCTAGGCCTTTGGTGTTGCGCTCAAGGTGGATGCGAATCACTTGGCTGACAGTAGTTTCCTTGAGAGACATGCTGTACTCAGTGTGAAAAAGCATCCTTAATTTTTGCAACAAGAGATGGGGTGTTGGCCATGACATTGATGTTGTCGACAAAAACAAAAATGAT